TGGAGAGGAGACGGGGCTTTCCGAAGGTATTTCCTGAAGAAAAAGCACACACATGCCCGGCAGCCCCGCTAATCCCAACAGGAAGCGCTTACCGGGACGCAGGGATTGGCTTCTTTCTTATTTAAAAAGCTCCTCGCCCTGCTGCCCCCCCCCCGCCTCCTGCACCCCGGCTGCTCTCGGGGCGATGCACATCCCTGGCTCCCCTTCCCTGGGGAAAGACTGCAGCAGGGAGATGCCAGCAGGCAAGCATGGGGGGCTCAAGGCACCCATGGCTCTTCCTGGGGGGGCTCAAAGCACCACTGGCTCTTCCTTGGGGGGCTCAAGGCACCACCGGCTATTCCTGACGAAGCCAGCCCAGGAGGTAGCGGGCTTCTCCCCACCCTCTGGTCCCCGGATGCTTCCTCCGGCAGGGAGAGGGAGATTTATGTACTGCTCCGGGCACTCCCGCTCTTCCTAGCCTGCACGTCAAATGAAGCAGCACTTAATTAACAGGCGTGTTGGTAGTTTGCAAAGCTGTCAGAATAAATCCACCCCTTTCCCCCCGGGGACACCCCCGGCCACGCTCAGAGCTCTGCAGCAGAGAGGAACCCTCCGGGGCAGCAGCTCGGGCCACAGACACTCACCCATCGGCTCCCCCCAGGAGTGGGACAGCCGGGGATCCTGCCCATCCCAGGGGGCACAAGCAAACACCCCAACCCGCACACGTGCCTATGGCTTTTTGCAATAACCGCTGGCTTTGCCTGGGCCCTGGCTCACTGCCAGCGCAGGCAGAGTTTGCATTCCTCTCCCCACATCTCTTCTGAGCAGCCCCGGGCTGTTGCACATGGGGGGGCTCGACAGCCAGCCAGCCCCCAGACACACGGACACCCCCTTGCACCCCCCTCACGTGGCTCCGCTCACCATGGGGCAGCTCTCCAGCCCAGGCTCCAGCAGAGTGCTGCTGCTTTTCCCAAAGACTCATATTTCTTTTTTTCCTCCTCAATTAAGGGCCGGAGTGACAGCATCCGAGTGGAAAGGCGGGAGGCAGGGAACAATGCCTGCTCAACAGGCTGGGAGGGGAAGGCCAGCAGCGTGATGCCCCAGAGGACACGGCGATGCCCCAGGGAGCTGGGGACAGAGCGGCTGCAGCAATCGGGGTCTGGGGGAAAGGAGGGCGCGGAGGTGCGCGTGGGGGCTGCGGGGCCCCCCCCCGAGCTCCGGTAACAATCCTGGGTCGGAGGTGTGCGTGGGGGCTGCTGGGCCCCCCCCGAGCTCCGGTAACAATCCTGGGCTGCTGCCATCAACAGCAAAAGTGCAGGAGGCTTCATGGCTTGGCAGGGGATCTCTAAGCTGCTCCTGGGGCTCCAGCAAGGAGTCGGCTGCTCCAAACCTGAACCCCTGGGGCAAGGGGTGGTGAGACACTGAGAGCTGCAAAAACAAGGTGGGGGGGGCTGGACAGCAGGGAAATGGGGAGGGGAGGACAAAGCCAAGGGCCAGCAGTCCACCCGGGGAGCAGCGGGGACAAGCCAAGGACCCTCGCTGTGCCACCTCCAGGGATGCTGTGGCTGGTGACAGCATGTCCCAGGCTACAGCTGTGCCAAAGAGCCCCAAACATCTTTGCTGCTGGGGGGGGGTGGGTGGGGCAGATTACAGCCTCCACGTTCACATGTAATGCTCCTGCCAGCACTGAGCGAGTTTTGGGGAGAGGAGGAGGCAGCACAGCCCCATGCTCACAGAGGTCCCCAGAGGTGCCCGGGCTGAGCACTCTCCCGGCCCTGGACTTTTGGCCTCCGTTGGGTCCGGATCAAGACCCCCTGGATGAGCCAGGCACAACAAAGCCCTGCTCCCTGGGAGCCAGGGCCCCCGCTGGCCCCGCAGATGGGGCCGGGGGGAGGTTAAGCCTGTGACCAGCTGGGCGGACATCGCAGATGGGGCCAGGGGAAGGTTAAGCCTGTGACCAGCTGGGCGGACAGCGGCACCGGGAAATGGGGCAGCCCTCCGCCCCCTGCCCCAACGGGGACCCTGAGCCTCTTGGTGGGGGGCTGCAGCCCCAGGCTCCTCTACAAACCCCCGCCCCTACTCCGGAGGGCAGATGCATCCCCTGGGAAAGTATTTGCTGCACCAGGGTGGCTGTTGGGGCTGAGCGTGCCCCAAAACAAGCTGCACAAGGCAGGACCCCCTCCCTGGGACACGGCAGTGCCTGGCTCCCCACGAAAACCTGCTTGGCTGCTTTGCACCCCCAGCACTCCCCAGGCAGGGATGAGGCAGACCCCGAGTGGGTGGAAATGCCTGAACAGCGCAAGGACAATAGCAGACAAGAAGAGAGGAAAAAAATCCCCTCGGCAATTTTCTGCAGGTTTCTATTTAACCTGAAGACAAAGACTGGCTTTGTGAGGGAGGGTGATGGAGGTTGCTCATGGAAATTTCTTGGCTTTTCCTCTTAACTAGGATTTTTTTACCACCTCCAAATTTAGGTAACTATAAAATGCAGTAAGTGCCCATTAATATTTTATTTGCTGCAGATTTTTGAGTAACAGGAGCGAGCCCCTGACAAAGGCAGAGTTCCCAAGCCCCCTCCCCACGCCACGAGGAGAGGCGGGCCAGCAACTGAAAATCCTCCTCTGCAGCGAGGCAGGGGCCGCTGGCCGGGCGCGGGGGATTACTCACTCCCTGAGAAGGGAGCTTAGCTGCCTCAGAACTGGGAGTAAACTGAAACCCCATAAACATCCAGAACAAAGTCCGGGAAAGCTGCTGCCTCCGCTGCGGAGGGGACCCGAGCACGGCCGCTGCTGCCCCCCGGCCGGCGCAGGCGATGCTCGTGAGCCGGTGGCAATGCAAGGGGAACGACAGTGAGCCCAGCCTCGGGGACATGATGCCCCACAGCATGGGAGCTGAGCCCCCATGAACACCCCGTGGGACCCCAAACTCCCCCAGGGCTGGATCCGGAGCCCGCCCTGGCCGGTGACCTGCAAGGTGCCGGCGGCGCAGCCCTGGCTGCGGGTCCTGGCCCAGGACCGGCTCTACCCATCCCACATGTCCTGCCAGGAACATTTTGTTCCCACCAGCCAGCCCCAGAGCCAAGGGACGGACTCTGCCCCAGCCAGGCTCCTGCTGTGGCACTAATTGGCCACCCTGGTGAGAACCATGTCGGGAAACGTTTCCAGAGGTTATTGTTAGCCCTGGCATGAGGCTGGCGAGGAACCAGCTCCTTCCTCTCCAACCTCTCCTCCTCCACTGCCGCTGCCTGATGCTGCTACCCAAACCCTCGGGGGGCTGCAGAGCTCCTTAAGCACCCTAAAACCCACCTTTGCTCAAATTAGCCCTCAGCCTGAACACCCCAACAGCTTTCCCAACGTGATAGCCAGGGCTGAGGCTGCCAGCACCACTCTCTCGGCGGCATGAGAGCCATCCTTACCCCAAACACTGTGAGGAAACCTCTTCCAGGAAGAGCAATCTCCTGAGAAAAACATGTTTACCACTGTCAGCTGCGTTATTTACAGAAGCAGGGAGTAAGCATGCCAATGGAAAAATCTCGGAGATGGTCCCCGTGAGTGATGCTTTGCCCGGGCTCCTCTCTGGAGCCTGCAGCTCCCCAGGGACCACGCACAGCTCCAGCTATCTCATGGGATGTATCTGTGACCAGGGTACCTGCTGCTCGGACCAGAGGCACTCACCCCAGCCCGCCGGCCACAGCATCATGGCATGCTTCCAGCCAGGACCACCCAGCTGTCCCCCACCGAGGCCGGTGTGGGGACACCAGCCGCAGCGCAGTTTGCTCGCCGGTGCCAGCTCCCGCCCTGTCCCAAGCCCTGAGCCGTGAAGGGACCGCGGGCACGGGGAGCGAGGCTGTTCAACGGGGCACCGTGCAGCACCGGGACTGTGCCGGCAGCACCAGCAATCAGCCTCTCGGGGTTTTGGTGGGAGGAAGAGGGAAGGGGGAATGAGCCTTAAAAAGAAAAGCAGTACCCCACAGACCAGACATTCTTGGGTAATTAAAACCAAAAGGCAGTAAGTCAGAAGTCCTACGCGGCGCTGCCTGGTCTGTTTATTCTCTGCCTCACCAAGGGGAAGGCCAAGGCTTTGAAATGCTAGAGCGGTGCTTTCTATCGGGGCCAGCTGTCTCCAGGGCCAGGTGACCCACTCAGCCCATCCACTGCATCTTGGGATGCCACCGGGCTCCGGAGCTTTGCAGGGCTGCGGCAGGAGCAAACCCCCAGCCTGCCCGTCGCGGGCCACAAGCCTTTGCAAGGCTTTTAGGGGAAAGCAGTGATGAAAAGCGAGGGGGATGCCCTCATCTGCGGCTGTGCTCCCCAGCCCCAGCGACGCCTCACAACGGTGCAGAGATCAGGATTGCAGGAACTGCCTGAGGCAGACCCGGCTTTGAACCCAGCCCCGTGGGCATTCCCCAGCTGGAAGCAACACTGGAGCACCCCAGGGGTCTCCGCGGGGTGTGTTCATCCCACGCGCTGCCAGCTGGCAAAGCCTGCACCGGTACCCTGCACCCAAATCCTCGTCCCCACCTGCTGAGCCCAGGATCACCCCAGTGTCAAGCAGGGGTGGGAGAAGGCTTCACACTCGTCTCGGGGCTGCAGATCATCACAGGGAAGCAAGTGCCGTGACACACAATGACCCCCCTGCTGGGGACACAGCCCCCAGGGCTTTGTATCCTTCTCCAAACCAACAACGTCGGGTTTTGCCACAATTTCCCTCCAGGTTTAAAACGTCCACGGGCAACGCTGGAACCGTGCACGCACTTTTTGTGCCCACGCAAATTGCCCTCAGCAGACAACATGCACCACGTCCCCACTGGCACCAGCCAGCAGCTCCCGGGCGGCCACGCAGCACCGTGCTGCTGCCGGGAGACGCGCCCGCGCCCCCGCAGCAGCCCCTGCGGCTGGACCTTGCACCAGCCTCTGCCTCTCCTGCAAGGGAGACCAGCTATCTTATCGCCAGAAGAGAAACGCAAAGGCCGAGGGAGCCGGGCGCTCCCCGGCGCGGCCGTGGTGGGTTGCTCGTCTTACCTTGGTCGGGCAGGGTGGGGGCCGGCCTGGCAGCTGAGAGCGCGGCTGTGACCAGCACAGCCCAAAGGATGAGGCACCGCCAGGTAAACATCCCACTGCTGCGGCTACTGCTCGGCGACTGGGCTCCGCAACTCCCACTCCATGGGGACCCCGGGCTGGCCCCGGGCGGGCGCGGGGGGGGTCTCCGCCGGGCCGTCAGCCCTTGTCGGGCAGGGTGGGGGCCGGCCTGGCAGCTGAGAGCGCGGCTGTGACCAGCACAGCCCAAAGGATGAGGCACCGCCAGGTAAACATCCCACTGCTGCGGCTACTGCTCGGCGACTGGGCTCCGCAACTCCCACTCCATGGGGACCCCGGGCTGGCCCCGGGCGGGCGCGGGGGGGGTCTCCGCCGGGCCGTCAGCCCTTCCGAGCTGCGAACGAGGAAAGCAGAGTCAGGGCAGGGCGAGATGCATCCCCACATCCCACCATCCAGCCCCCTCTGTGCACAGCACAGCTCTGCGGGTGGGACGTGCTCGCCATCGCAGGCGATGCTCCTCGAGCATCCAGCCCAGACGACGAGATGTCCCCGAACCCATGGTGGCAGGTCCCCGCAGACCCCTCTGCAGCCTGAAGCGACCCAGCGCTGACTGGCAGGGTTATGTTTTCCTGCATAAAAGCGCTGATGTGTCGAGAGTAAAACCGCTGGCGAAGCAGAATGGAATGCAGCAAAATTTCCCAGAACGGTGGGAGAAATTTTCAAACTACGGTTAAAGAAAGGGAGATTTCTGCTCTCCTCTTCCTGCACTTAGTTTGTGCTGAAAAGAGGAACTCCCATAAAGATCAAAATGCTGCAAAATTTTTGAAACAAAAACCCCCTCGGCCCAAGCTGGGTCATCACAGTGTGGCAGCTCCCACAAATTTCTTAGTTTTCTTTAGCTTTGCTCAGATGAAAAATAATCTCAAAATCTTGACAAGTTCCGTGGGATGGAAGAAATGTTTCTGTTGGGCTCTGAAAAGCCACTTCTCCCCTGTGCGAACACACCTGCAGGCAAATGCCTTCCTGCCTCTCTCCCTTGTTTCCACAACATCTTCTGCCCCAAACGCCCTGGACAGCGCCAGGACCCAGCCCAGGACCCCCGGGCGCTCCAGGACCAGCAGCACCTTGCTCCGCTGTGGCTGACCCAAGGCTTCGCTGAGGCAAATTCCATGTATCCAGACCAAAATCTGACGTTGTCCATGTCACCGTGCACCCCCGGGCGAAGCAGATCCTGCTGCAAACCCCAGCCCCCTCCATCCCCATAGGATCTATAGGGCATGCACGCAGCCACCCCCTATGGAAACGCCTTCCTGGAGCTGAAGGGGTTAGCCGGCACCTCACCCCGCTCCCGCGTGCGGCAGATCTCTTTCCACTGACAGCTGTTTTCGGAGCGGCCATTTGGGGAGAAATCCCCCAGCTTCCACGGCCGATACTGCAATTCGCTCTCATCCCTGCCAGCTCTCATGCCAGGCTCTCCAGCCCACCCGTCCCCTCGGGTCCCCATCCCCTTCCCCTGACAGGGGACCGCTCCGTGCAGGGAGACATCAGAGCCAGGTTCTGGCACAGGGAGACCCAGCGGAGCCCAATCCCAGCTCAGGGTGCCCCGGGGATGTGCCCTCTACGGCCCTCATCCCTCCTTCCCTCTGACTGTCCCTCCTTCCTGCCACACTAGGAGCGTGGAGCTCTGCCAAAACACGTTTGAGGGGGACACTGGAGCCAAAGCCCAAGCCCAGCCGCCCCTGGCCAACTGTTCCCAGCAGTATGGATGCGAGCAAACCCCTGCACTCCACCCCCGCGACACATCTGCCACTCCGCAGAAGCCTGGGATGGAGGTCCTGACACTGGTCGTCATTAATTGTCCTACTGGGCTTTGCCGAAGAGCTTGCCGGCGAGATCCCTGCCCAGTTAATTGCACAACCCGAGCACGGCCGTGCTGGTCCGGCCAGGGTGCTGCTGGCAGCAGATGCTCCAGAAGTGCAAGGACCAGGGTGTGGACAGGATGATACCATCCCCGAAACCCTCCTCCAGGCTCTGGCAGCCAGAGGCCAGAGCACCTCCCCAGGGTGCAGCCATACCTCCATGCCCCGTAGCCCTTGCCGAGTATCCTGAGCTCACCCCGTTCCTCTCCCCACTGACTCGTGCTCCCCGAAGCCCCGTAGCCCTTGCCGAGTATCCTGAGCTCACCCCGTTCCTCTCCCGACTGACTCGTGCTCCCCGAAGCCCCGTGCTGAGCCGTTCCCAACCTGCTGTGTGAACAAGTGCTTCCTTTTGCCGTAAGACGTCTAAAGCATGCACTGTTAAAAACAGTGAGTAATAATTGTAGTGAGTAATAAGCCACTACTCATCCTCCCCACATACTTGGTCTGTCGGAGCTCCGGCCACCGCCTCTCCTGTTCCAGCGAGGGAGCGAGACCCTTCGCTCCTCTTGCCCGAAGTGCTGGCTTTTCCCTGGGAATGGGCTGAGCAGCCACCAGCGCCAGCCCCACAGGGCTCCTGTTTAATGCTGGGTGCCGCCCGGGGAGCTCAGACACCCTGAGCAGCCTCTGCAGCCCAAGAAAATCCAGCTGGGGTGCAGGTTTGGGGGGCTCCGGCTGCCTCCTCCCTGCCCCAACTGCTCTGGCTCTGGCTGGTGCAGGAACATTTGGGACCCAAAGTATTGACACAAGCAGTCGGGCAGAGAAAAGCGGCACCCAGCAAACACTGGCGTTATCTCCAAGCGCCAGCGCTCCCAGGCGCCAGGCAGCACGCTTTAAAATAGTTATTGAATGTTAACAATTTATCAGGGTTTGGAAGGGGGGGGTGGAATTTTTTGTGGAAAAAAAAAAAAAAAGTCTTTGGTATTTCTGGAAATTATTTTCTGTCTCTAAGTGGTTTTGTTTATCGACAGCACATGCCCCCCGGAACATGCCCTAATGGGGAGCGTCTGCGTGGGCCTCCCGAGCCGGCCCCGCGGCGAGCGAGGGAGGGGAGCGCAGCGCCTCCAGAAGCAGCAGTTCCTGAAAAATGAGTCAGTGCTGGCTCGGCGCACAGCAAAGCCCTTCTCCAGATACACCTCGGAGCGGGCGCCTTCCAGCTGATTCAGGGGCTCGACAGCAGCATATTTCCATGGCGTATGGATCACTCGGCAGTGAAGAGCTGCCCCACGTCTGGGAGAGTCACTGGGAGGGAGAGGGAGGGAGGGAGGGACACGTGCCAAGATCCAGAGGGAGTGCATGACCGATGCTCGGCTCCCCGGGGCAGAAAGGGAGGTGGCAGCAGCTATGGCTTTGCTAGAAGGCAGACAGGTGCAGGACAGGGACGCATCCTGCACACGGGGGTCAAGCCAAGCATCCTGCCTGCTCCCCCCCGGACAGGCTCAGCAGCACCCTAGGAAATCCTGGTGTTCAGAGAGGAGTGGATGCTAAAGGGATGGGGCAGCACAGACCCTTCCCTCCTTCCCAAGGTAAAAGGGAGCCTGGGGAGCCCCACGGCGCCTGCCCCTGCCCCCCCGGGGCTCCTCTGCGCCCGCTCGGCAAGGAGGCGAGGAAGCGGGGAGAGTGCTCCTACCTGTGCAAACAACAGCATGGCTCTTCTCTGTGTTTATACAGCTTTTATATAAATCCCAACAGGAAACCGTTTGCTCGGGAGGATGGCAGCCTGAGCAGGGTGGGTCTCCGGCTCCTGCCAGGCACCGTCCCCGCTACCCACGGCCCTGGCACACTGCAATTTACTGCTCAGGGGTGGATTCAAACAACTAAAAATGGAAGCAGTAAGAGAGGAGCCAGGGCTAACTGCCCCTCGGAGACCTGCCTCTGAGACTGCAATTACAACTGGTCATCACACCCACAGAGCTATTTCGGAGCGGTGACGGACACCCCTGTGCCCACCTGTGCACCCTCCCAGGGGCACACGCTTCCTGCACACCCGCGTGTCGGGGAAGATGCTCTCACACCGCCTTTGTACGCCCGTGCGTTCACGGGTGGTGAGAAGCAGCCTCATGCAATCTGTCTCCCCTGTTGTCCTCGGGAACACCGAGGGCTGCACTTTCACCTCTCGCCTCTCCCATGCCCGTGAGTCACCAGGCTGAGCTGTCCCAGAGACACGGCACAAGACGGGACCTTCCACACTCGGGCGGCAGCCTGCGCCGAACATTTCTGAGCTGAGTGTAGCGGGGAAGCCCCTTCCCGTCCCACAGCTCATCCCCAGGAATGCATCCAAGGAGCCAAAGGCAGGAGCTGGTGCCGGAGCAGGGTGCATGGCTGGGGCACCCGGGGCTCAGAGCCCAGGCTCAGCCTGGGGCTTTCTGCAATGCCGTGCTGTCCCGCAGGGGAGCCCCTGATCTGATCCCCCAGGAGCAGGCTCCGTGTGCTCGTGCTGCTGGCTGCGACAGGGGGGTAGCTGCTGCCGGTCGGCTCGGTGGGGCTGGGATGGCTCTGGACCAGGGCAGCTTCGCCTCCGCTCACGCAGCCGCCGCCTCCCCGTTGGAGCAGAGCTGGCTTGTGCAGCATCCACCACATCAGAGCGTCCCGGAGGCAGGCGAGCGCTGGGGTGCCTCGGCGCCAGCAACCAGCGTGTAACGCAGCAGGCAGAAAAACAACAGGGCAAGGCCAAATTCAACAGGGAGAAGAGTCTGAGCTCGGCTCCCAGGTCTGCAAGGCTTCAGGAGCCTGGGGTGGGGGGCTGCACACAGCTCGGGGCCACACGTCTCTTGGGGTGGAGAGGTGGTGACTGCCAGTGGGAGACCTTGCCTGGCACAGATGCACTCCAGCTCCAAAATACAGAAAGGAAACTCAATTTTTCTCTGAGGCTCAACACAAGCAGCCCTCCAGGCGCCCTTGGGGAAGAAGGGCACGCCAAAGGCAAAATTCGTGGGCAACGCGGAGAAAAGCCTTTCCCTCGCCCAGCGCTCCCTTGCCCCAGCCAGCAGCTCAGGTCAGGAACCAAGTATTTGCTGAAATAAAAAGCAAACAACTGCAAATATAACTACAGGGAAAAACTATAATGCTTAAAGCAGACGCATGCTTGGAAAAATAAATATCCAACTGTGCAGCACACATACTGCATTAACCCTTCCCAGCCATATGTGCTGCAGCCTGCCGCAAGGCCTTACAGCTACCCGGGGTATCTCTAGCACTGAGTTCA